GGAATTGAACCCTTTAATCGTTCTGAAAGGATATCCTTTGTTGTTTAGAGGTGTGTTTTCTTTGTCGTATTTATGTGTATTATATCAACTTGCGAGTGATATCCTCTTACATTTGTTGACAAATTTTACGTTCGATTTCTGTTTTTCTTAGTTCTACTTTTTTTTTGTAAAAAAAAGTTAGATGGTATTATTATATACTTTTATGAATTCATAACAATTTTCTTTGAAATTAATATCGTTGCTTAATTTTATTTAAATTACTTTATATTCATTTATATATTATTTTTGAATATTTTTTCTGGGCATCAATGCAGAAACGAACCAACGCTCAACTTAAATTTAATACTCAACTTAATAATTTAATACTAAAGTAAAACAGAATTAGCATAAATAATCAGCTTTCCTTCAGGGCGTTTGGAATGATATCAGTTATTGATCAAAATCCTTGAAAATTCTAATCATCTAAGTATTCGATATTAACTCGAACCATCAAGAGCGATTAGTGTTTCCTTAACTTGCTCACCCCTCGGAAAATACGGTCTTACCTTGCGTCTTCTTTCAATAACATTTAAACTATCAGTTTTGTTGGAGCATTATCATCAATTCTCATGACTAGAATAAGCGGACAAAGCCGCTGGATATTAATTCGCTGAAGATATCTGCATGGTGATAAGGCTCTTACAGTCAATTTGTAGAAGACCGAAGATCTCATATAGAACTATTTTTTAGATAACTTGCCATGCAGCTTCGTTATCATGTCATGGTGCCCATGCTTTTCGCCATATAGAAACACATGTAGAATAATTGAGCTATAGAGCATAAGCTGTGCCAGTCTGGCGAATGTTCTACATTTCAATTACCTACTGAGTTCATAGCCGCACCTATTGGTAGTGATATTTCTTTTTTTGATATCGAGGCTGATATTATTTTGTTTATTACGGCGGTGCCAAGACAGATGAAATCCTTGAAATCCTTATACAGATTCGAAAGTATAATCGTCAATCACTATCTTTACATACAACTTATTGGAAATAATTACTTAGGCTTTTTTAAGCTTTTGGACCTCAATATCTATCTGACTTGCCTAAATCTGTTGTGAAACTAACTATCAATGGTTGAATCCAATGTGTATTAAACAATAAATGGCAAAATCGCAATAGCTGCACCCCATCAATCTTTTGGACATCCACCTCTTCCCGTCTTGCCCAAATCTGTTGTGAACGGTTGGATCCAATTCAACAATAAATGGTAAAATCACAATGCCTGCAAATACATGAACCTTTTGGACATCAATATTTTCGTAACTTGCCCAAATCTGTTATGAGACCATCTATTGTCAGTTGGATGCAATCTGAATCACACCGCGTTGGTCCTATCTGAAATCTGTGCAAGAATATAAGTTTTTTATGTAAATTTGTCTCAAAAAGTGCAGATTAGTGTTTGATTGGATCACTGGTCACAACCACTTTCACAAAGACCGCTCTTTCGACTTGGTTTCGCTGACAACAGCTTAAGTTCATTTTGTTTGGACAACAATTATATCAAGAAATATTTTCTATGATGCTTTTCTCCCATCAACTCAAAACTTACATTTAAAGTTCGCAAGCCAGATGTTGTAAGTAATGCATGTTCCATTTGTTTTGAGTATGATCATAACATAAACTATGTTTCAGGGTTTGTTCCGCTCTCCAAAGACTCAAAGATAGTTCTCCAGTAAGATGTAAGAATTAGATTCAGTTTCAGTTTCTACAACTGGGGTACGTCGGATCACGGTTAAATCCATTTCCTTAAACGGAGCCAAAAATTTTTGTTGTATATTGGACTGAGTTTCATATACTTATTATGATACTTTTATGGTCTGAATTTGATGAATTTCTTTTATATACATTATCCTCAAAAGGTGATTTGAGTGTGTCAAACGGTACCTTTTCAAGATTTCCATTTACTGATAAGACAATATAATAATGTAAAAGATAAATTAAATTAAATCCGCAAAATTAAATTGATTTAAATTTTTAAAATTAAATTTTGGAAAAAAAAATTGGTAGTTGTAAGCAAATTATATAAATTAAATTAATCTAAATTTTCACAATTAAATTTTGGTAAAATAGAAAAATTTTCTATTTCCTAAGGGATTTTGGAAAAGTTTCCATTTACTGAGAAAAAAAAAGATAATTTAAAAAGTAAAATTAATTTAAGTTCTTTATATTAATATTATTTAAATTTTTACTGTAAATTTTTGGAAAAATCGACAAAAAAAAAATGGTGTAGTTAAAATTAAACCAATTTAAATTAATCTAAATTTTCAAAATTAAATTTTGGAAAAAAAGACAAAAAAAATGGTGAAGTTAAAGTAAACTAAATTAAATTGGTCCGAATTTTCACAATTAAATTTGGGTGAAATAAAAAAAATATTATTTTTTTACTGCCTCTCGAACATATGTCCAGTATCAAATTATTAGTCCTGTCAAGAATAATAAAATATTTATATATTTAATATCAACATATTAATAAATTATTTTTAATTTATTCACAAAAAACCACAAAAACCAATTATAAATAATAAAGCAAGGTCCTTTCGAATATATAAACTGCTTCTATCCTTGAATGAATATTTAAATATTTTACATTCATCATAGGATAATTTAAGCATTGCTATAGAACTTGTCAATTAAAGTACATATCCTAACTTTTGTGATTGACAGTATAGTTAATAATTTATTAGTATATTTTGACATTGCAATGTCAGAAAGTTTTTCACATAAGAATTCAACTTTACTTTAAATGGACGATACTTAATAGTTGCATTAAAGACTTAACATAAGAGCCTTGCATCGAGTGACTGACTGACTGCACCATACATTGGCTCAAATGTGGAATAAGGAAACCCTCTAATTGCAGGTGAATGGCATTAATTGCAATAAAATTCGAGAATTCAAAAGAAATGTTAGGACTTTTTAATTACCCAACAATTTGCGAACACATAATGAACGCGTTGTTAAAGCAGCTCCGGGGTCACGCCCACTTTAAACATGCCATTGACTTAAACTGCCGCTAACAAGTTTTAGCGCCGATTTCTTGTTGCAGAATTTAAAGTCAAACGCCAGGACTCTCACAAAGAAAAGTGAAGTGAAGTGAAATGAAATGGAGGAAATTGCAGTGAAAGGCACACAATTAAGGACATTTGTGGCAAATAGTTGTATCTTACGTGGCGCTCGGCACTCCACCATATACACACTTAGGCAAATTGTGTTTGAAATAGTAATAACATAATTCACAAGTGAAACTATTACTAGGATTGGATAGGACTACGACTATTGCATTTAAAACGTGTCTAAGGATATGCAAATATTAGTCCGTTTCTTGTTACGTTTCCTTCTCCATTGTGTGGCAATTACCCACACAATGCAACCGCTTTTTGGGCCACATTACGGTTGGGCCAAAGTAGACATTAGTGCAGCCGTGTGTGCATGTTTTTGCATTTATAGTGAAAATCGATCGGACATACATGTTTTGTTTAGTGGTTATTTAATCTAAGGTTAGACCGACCTCAGGTCAATTTCGTAAAGTAAAACTCTACTATAGGCGGCATATCGTGCGAGGGGCTCTCTGTGTGGAAAATGCTAAACATACGCGCACACAATTGCAGCAGCGTTTGATTGATGTGGGAATTAGGACAGCTGGGCCCGCTTTCGCAATTGGCATTGCCTGCTTTTCGGAACATATTGCACTGCATACGTGTACTTTGTTTTGTGGTACAAATGTATGGCACAATTAAATTTTAGTTAAATATTAATTTCGGAAGTGGTTAAATGCTAGAAATTCAATTAAATCAAAAGACTACAGTCGAATGACGTGTACATTTGCGTTCTAATTCTGTAATTTCCTTAACTCAACTCAAATATTGGATCGTGTACGTTTAACAAATACCAGAATACACTAATATGTACATTGATGATTTGTTTACATTATTCGAAACTAACTGCAACGTTAAACTTTAAATCAATAAGATTCCGATATATTCTCGTGCCATTTTCTTGAAGATTGTTTTCGTAATTAGGTAAACCATTTTGATTACAATACATTTTTAATTGTAATTGAATGATAAATATATAAATAACATATAATCATAATAAAAAATCACAACAATCTTTAGTTTAGCTCATAGCTCTTCTTGGTTCGTCAACAATTTTGTTTCCTTTGTGAAAAGCAACGAGAGCCACAGTGTGAGACTTGAACCCACTAAAACCACCTCTTAGAAATGGTTATAGAAGATAATGGCAGAGAGAACATTAGCTAGGCTTAGTATTAAGTAAGCTAAATTCATCGTAGCCAGAAAGCATAGACGTACTCATTTAGAAAGGGATGTGTCTTCTTGATTACTTATTTATTATGATTTATTTTCGCTTGACTAAGAATTAAGTCACTAAATTAAGAATTAAGTCACTGTGACACTAAATATTATAAGAGTTTCATATTTCGACAGACTAGTTTCCAATAAAGCAGGACAGGATTGGTCTTAATCTAGAAAAATCTTCTCTACTCGGCACATCTACTCGCTTATTAAAAGTACTTAACTTTAAAAATTATTTAAGCTGTGACTGTTTCTATACAAAAGATTCCTTTCTTACCATAAAATCAGCTTTTCCATATCCTATAATATTCTCATGGGCCTACATTAGAGGAATATTGTGTCGTTCACTTAAAGCGGTTAGTACCCTTTTGCTTTGTTGCACTACGTGATAATTAAATTATTTATCTGTTCATAGGTCTATGTTCTACGTTTTAAATATGGCATATATCACTTCAAATATATTCTTGGACTTAGACCTATTGGAAAAACTCTTTATTAAAAGGAGTTGCCTTTTTATTTGACCGTTTACATTATCAAATCGTAATATATGCTCGTCGTGTTCGTTTTATTAGTCTAATTTTGACAGTTTAACAAAAGTGTCATATCTACTTACTCTGAAAAACATGTCAATCTTTTCCAAACACAGCTAGAAACGAAAGCATATAGTGACTAATTCTTGCTGACGTGTAAACAGTTGCTTCCGGTCCATTGTCGTGAAAAGGTGTGCGTGCCTCGACTAAAAATAGTTCTAAATTCCTTCAATATCCTGACATCACTTCATTTAACTCAGTTTTTTTTCTTTACCAATAATATATTATCTTCTTTGTCGAACTTTTCAGCAAAACTATCTGAGCTAAATACCAAATTATTCATTTTGTCAAAAATTTGAAGTTGGCTACAAGTTTGAAGCAATAAAACCAAGGTTTAATCATTCAACATTTCTATAAAAAAGTCAGGTAATTTTATTATAATTATAAAATAATACAATAATTATATTAATTAATTAATTATGTTTATTATATTATTATTATAATTATATAATAATATAATTATCATTATATTTTATTAAATAAGTATCTTATTGCAAAATTGGTCTCGAGGGGTAATAAGTCTATCCAAAGAGACGGTAAGGGGGGGTGAAGAGGCATACCGTTCTGACGACATAAAGCATTCCCTTTCTTCAGGACAAATAAAAACAGGTGTAGATATATATATGTACACTATACATATGTATAATGTAATGTATATTGTATATATATATATATAAAATTATAGAAGTGTGATGATTAGTAATACTAAGAATAATGCTCAAAGTAGTATTAAAATATTATTGGAGACTATTATGGCAATTTAATATCTTTAAGTGCTACTGAACAGCATTTTTTCCGTTACGTTTTTGATATTTCGAGCTACTGTAGTCAGTCGCTGTTATTTAATCAAGTGCTGGACTTTTTCGTCAAAACGACATTTTTGTATATTTACATATACAAAAGTGACAGGTAACATATGTACAACACGGTTGTATTCTTTTAATAAAGTACTAGATAATTCATTTTTATTATTTTATTGAAAATATTCGTTATTTTTCTCTTAAGTGAGCTTGTACTGTGATTATCATTGTGTATTAGATAGTGGTAATATTATATGGTATTTAATTTTATTATCTCTGTAATATGTTTTAGCTAGACTTTGGTACTATGAATATTTACTGAACAAGTGGAGATATTGAAAAAAAAATTATCTTTTTGTGAAAGCCTTTCTTTTGAAAGTAATTGAGATCAATTGGCTTACCGGAGGAACCTCTTCAAACTTGGGCCCAAATATGGTAAACTTCTACATTATCTTGTATACTTTACCTCAAAAACTATGATAGATAGAAAGTTGAAATTTGTTGTACTGAATACGTGTATTTTGATATATATATATTTAAAAATTTGAAAAGAAAGGTCATCTTACAAACTTTATTTAAAGAAAATTTAATTTCACTATCTCTAGAGGTTTAAGAAATACCGAATTTTGATCGTCTAATTTATGTTTTGGCACATTGTGTGATGGAAGTAGCGTCGTAGCATAACCATGATTGTGGGAACTTACTATATTAGTGTCTATAAATACATATTGTATTACTTATATGTATTACTTTTTTCAAGTATTTATATGTACAAACTGTACATTGATGATTACCACTAACGTCCTCACTAAAGTTCCAACATTTGAACCATGATTAGCAGTTATACTATCCAATGTTAAACTTTAATCGGTCTTGGAGTTTTGCTGTTCCTTTAATAAGTAGGTTTATAACACTTTCACATATAAAACTGAAATTTATGTTTTCTCCAAAATTGTAGACTCTCTCCCACTATTCACTCTCCCACCAACAACACCATTAATTTTATTTTGTAAATAAATAACCAAAAATTTTCATGGACAATTAAATTTATTAAAAAAACAAAACAGAAAAATTAAAAAAAAATTTTTTTTTTTCAGTTATTTTAATTTAAATTTGTATTCAAACTTAATTAAAATTAAAATAAAACAAAAGTAAAAATTTTAACATCTTAATTACATTTCGAAAATTATCCATGGTTGTTGGAAATACAAGAAAATGTTTCCGCTTAATATGCAGAAGTGGAAAACGGATGATGAAGATGGGTTAATGCTGATAATGGTTTTGTTATGATTTTCCGCATAGAATTAATGCCGCTTTTATGCCTCAGTGCATTTAATAGAGTAAATCTAAGTTCAACTCAGTTTCGGTTAAAATATTCATAAGGCAAAAAAATAAATAAAATGAAACTAAACACAAAGATTTGCCTTTGAGATTTTATCTTCACAGCAATTCGTTAACTTAGCGGTGTTGAAAAGTGGATTTCCTCTGTGCATAATAAATTTACATACTTGAAAATTTTTTAATGGAATGACTTAATCCAGCTGAAGTCATTAGTATTAAAGAAATTTGTACTTAATTAGCATTATGATGATGGTACACCTGCAGATTACACGCTAAATTTCAGCGATTAGTTAGATAAAAAAAAAGTATCTAAAAAGTACATATCATTCTTAGTAAGATATTGAAGCAAAAAAAAAATATTTTTTTTTTAAGTCTATTTTTAATAATTACATACACAAAAGGAATATGTGTTTTTTCTTCTAAATAGTCTTAAATACCGGAACTAATAACAATATGCAATTTTTGGTTAAACACATTTGTGGTTAACAAAAAAATATATAAAACAGATCATAATCCATTATAAAATATCCTTTATTAAGAACATAGGTCATACCTTTTCCATACAATACATAGTGTCCTCAAATTCTTATGAATCTAAATTATGTTTACAAGCACACAAGTACGAATGCATGACCACAAAATGTACAATAGATCCATAAATTCATCCTTTTTAGTTATTTCTTTAATTTCTGCTACACAGTGTACTATACAAAAATGTGTCCTTAAAATTGTTATTGTAGTTGAAAAATTCTTTTAAAACAACAACAACAAAAAAAAGATATTAATAAACTAGAATAGAAAATATTACAATGAAAAGTAGAAAAATAGAAAATAGTAAAATAGAAAAACAAACATCAAGCAAGGATCCTGACATTAAGTTGATTGTGATTAATGACTCCTGTTATTGTCCACTTTTCATGCTCATATGCTTCCTGCCTGTGAGTTTCTTACTACGTCTGACACCTTTCCTATTTGTCAAATTGTAAAACATCACACCTCCTGTAACAGTAGGCACAAGTGACATTTGGTGTGGATTTTTCTGACCACAATGACGAAACCTTTTACATGCAGTGAAATTATTTTCTTACAGGATACATATTTACAGTTAATTTCCTTTTCATTATATTATCTATTGTTATGTCAATTTTATTCACACAAAATATTTATAGATTCTCAAAGAAATGTATATATACCTCACATGCTCGATCAAGCTGCAGATTTTCTATTTATAAAAATTAAGGATTTGTTTAAGGATGAATCGAAGTATGTTTCTTAGAGGATTGCTTATGTGATGAATTTTAATTTAATTATTAAATGAATTAAAAATATATAATAAAAATATATTTTATTAAAAAGGTTTAGAACAGCACTAAATTGCGACAACAAAATTTTCATTATTATTATTTTTAATAAATTGAATTTTCGGAAGAACATACAGCTGCTTCGGGTATTGCCAAATAGTCGTCATCTGAGGTCTTGGAATTATTTCTCATATTTAGAATTAAATAAATAATAGCAAACTATGATCAAAATATACTACATATAGAGTATCAATTATTATTTATTCAATACATGCACTTAGCATGCTACATGAACGTTTATTAACAAATAAAGTCATTAAAAAAAAAATAATGCAAATCGGAATGAATAATTAATAATTTTAATTAAAAATTAAATTGGTAGCTATAATTTAATTCATTTCATTTAATTTTCCTTTATGAAAACAACACGCAAACCAAAAATGAATCATTTAAACTATATAAAATTCCTAAAAAACAATCGAACAAATTATGCATCCAAAAGAACTTCAAAATAATACAAAATTTACTATAAAAAAAAAACAAAAATAAATTAAATGTAACAAAAAGACAGACAGACTAACTAACAGATAGATAGACTACTTTAAAGACAAAAATTTATATTAAAATTTATGCTAAAGAGGATCTCCAGTCGACTAATTCAACATAAAACTTTGTTGAAGTATTTTTTCTCTTGACGTGTACTCTGCACCAAAACATGGAACGTTGTGCCTGGGTATGGAGCAGCCATCTCCGCGTCAGTTGAGTAAGAAGCTATCAAACTTGGCGATGGTAATTGTAGGTTTCAGTAGAGTCATTTTACACCGCGCAAACGATGTGTTGTGATGTGCTGCATTCGCTGCATTTGATGCATTTGGTGCAGTTGCAATATTCCAGTGTTGCGCCTGCGCGTCGGCATAAGTGAATGACTGCCTTGGATAATGATTACCCTTGATAGTAATTCGTTATTTCAGCCAAGGTAATGAATGTGCATCCGTAACACGTTTCTTGACTGTTTCTTCGCATTGTTGTTGTTGTTGTTTTCGTTATTCTCTAAAAGTAGCTCTGTGAAGCTAAATGCATTATGAAGTGCCATTGGAATTAAATTTGGACTTCGTAACACTTTTTCTTTTTGTTTTCCTTTTTGTGAGAGTTCTGTTCCTGTGATAAATATTTCTTTTTGGTCTCAACTGAAAACAGTTATGATTTCTAAATATTCTAATGTTTAGCAGCTCTTAGTTTCCTTTCGTTTGAAAGTAATTCATTTGATCTTCTTCGCCGTGAGCTAACACTTTAGTAGAAAGTAGATTTTTTCAATATAGGTATAGACAATATATAGACAACCTCTCAATACTTCCTAAATGTAATTCTTCTGGTATTCTTTCTAGTAATTGTATTTCTTTAAATTTAATTGTAATTCAAATATATTTTTAATGTTAAAATTTTAATAATAAAATAATAATATTCGGATGGGGTTTCGGATGCCACTTAATGACAGTTCTTTGGGATTATGGGTTGTACCATATATATAGCAACTACACAATAGAATATAATTTCATTCGTCAATTTAAATGCTTAAGATATTCTTGAGATGTTATAAGGGATCCCTCAAAAAGAGTTTCTAAGATTTCGCACTCGATACCAGATGGTGAGTTTTTAAATTTTTGAAATCCTATTTATGTGTTTAAAAATCTTATTTCAACAAGTATAAAGGATCCTTAAAAAAGGATTTCTGAGATGCTTCAGTTTATATATGGCAATTATTATACAAAATAATTTTATTGATCAACTCAACTTGATCAGTTTTCATATTCTTGAGATCCTATTATACTTGTTAGAAATTTTTATTATAAATGAATGCAGGGAATCCTTCAACAAGAGTTTCTAAAATGTTGCACTCTATATATGGCAATTATAATACAGAATA